ATTTATATATTGCAAGTGCAGACAGTTTGCTGTTTGGTTTTGTCTTCTGTCACCATCATCGTTTTCTCTAATTGTTTTCAAAGGTAGCAGCTGGTGTTATGTGCACGTATTAGAACAGAAAAGTAGGTTCTGACTAGTTTCCTCATTTTTGGCTGTCCCCGGCTGCCTCGTTTCCACTCATTCTCCCAGACTGAAGCAGTGGAGTGTGAACAGTCAAATAGCTAGTCAGAATTCAGTTTAGGATAGAGGACTCATTACACGCATGCACACACAGAACAGTGTTAGGGCAACAGGGAGTGAAGACACAAGCATTTTGAAACAACTTGTCTTTCCTGTCCTGATTGATGTACATTTATGCGCACTGCCATGTAGGTAAATGTCAAGAAAGAAAGCAGCACACATGTTGGTTGAGAAACTTGGGTAAGAAATCAGAAAGAAATAAAGACAGAAAAGTGACGTGTCAAAAAATTATCCCACTGGCATCATAAATAAAGCATGGTAGCATTACGAAGGCACAAGAGTTGGGGTGGGAATGATGAGAAAAACAGCGAGAGGAGACAGAGAGACTAGGCGGCATCATTTCTCTGAAACAGACTACTGATGTCATTTACCCTGCATCAATATTTCACCGCCTAGATAGAAGGAGGAGGGGAGCGGGTGGTGAGGGGAGGTGCGGACAGATAACAGAGATACGACAATGGGAGGAGGGCTTTTGGAGAAGTCACAGAGCTGGACAAAGAGTGTGAAATGGAGGTGCGAAGATAAAACTGTAGCCAGAAACGACAAGTGGAAGAAGTGTGAGAGAGAGGAGCTGTTGCAAGGGGAGAAGTAATAAGCTGATCTCTCTTCTGCCATGGGGGCGTAATGCAGAAGTAATAGGAGAGGGAACAACAATTGGCTAAATTTGTTTGTCCACATTCCTGCTCGGCCCCGCAGAGCCTCGGCAGACTGAGAGCAGCGCTGCGATCAGCAAAGCCCTCTGCCATGTGCATGTATACACTGTTGAATGTTAATAACTCCTGATGACAGGGAAAACAAGCCTGCGGGCCTAGTTAAATGCTCACACTTGTGTGTGTGCAACAGGGGTTCATAACTAATTGGTTCACTGCAAGACAATAATGACCAACATGCTTCTAGGCTCACTTAACACATCCAAAACTTCACTGCACTAATAATGCACCATCTGTCTCTCCACTGACCATGCAGTATGCTCCTCATGGGTGCACTCAACAAATCATTGGACTTTATTAAGTTACATCAGGCAGTGGCAGATGAGGACCATTGGAAGCTTGACTGGTCTTCACGAGAAATTAAACACTTAAAAGTATAGGCAGGACATACATTTTTTACATAATATGGGACCACTAAAAACATTCCTGCACTAATTCGTCCCCCGAGGGTATAATAATACCCAACTTGGTTTTATATATTGTGCAATAGATCTGGCTTGCCAGATGGCCAAACAGTTTCACATAAGCCACAGATTTTTATGTATTTTCAGAAACTGAAGTGTTATTGCTGAAACCAAGGGGACTTGTGTGGCTTCAGATGTGGGTCGGGTTTTTCTTTACAAAGACCACAAATGATATGTTGCGTGTGCTTCACTGCAAAACCAATAAATGACCACTGAATAACACAGAGGTGGGCAGATTCATCCAAATATCGCTACAATCAAAACCAACGCTTGTAATGGTATTGGATTGATACTGACATGATGAGTTCCATCCTCTAAATTCAGTATGCAGCCTACTGAACTGTGTTAAGTGTATTTATTTTTGGGGGGAATGAAAAACATACCTCAAACATAGAGTATGAAAAACGTCTGAACCTTTTTGTGTTGACTGTCACGTCTATTTGATTTTTTAGCCTAAACGCTTTAACAGCTCAAGTTGACCCATAGTGCTTTAGAGACAGGCACATTTACATTCCATTTCTCCAAAAAACCTAGTTTATTGCATTAACTAATTATTGTGGCAAGTAAAAGTCACTGTGGTTTGTGTTTACAATCTGCTAATTGATAAACATCGATCTCATAAATCGTGAAACACCCTTCAACCATGTTATGAATGAACAAGTAAATAAACAAGTAAATAACTATGCTAGGGAGTGTTAAGGAAATCTGTTTACATTTTTGTGTCAAACAATGTGACAAATATGGCTAGTGGTTTTGGTTTGCCACAGTATTTTTTAGCATATTCTCGCATTAATTGGATTATATTTTCACACAAATGAATCAATGTCTGTTTCTATGGTATGTAGCTGTTCAGTTATGTGCCACTTGATTAGATATCAAAGAAATTATAATCTAACTATCTGCTGTTGTATGTCCTTGGTGTTTGTTGAAAGATGCCTAAAAATCTTTGGAATTTTTTTTTTAAAATAAAAATCATGCTGTGACAAATCAATAAAGAGATTTAAATTTCCTTACAATTAGAATAAGTGTGTAGCAGTGATGACTATTGGAGGTTTTTCCTGTTTTGTGGTACTTAATGCGATCGATAGGATTTTTTAAACAGTCAGAGAGCAGGCATAATGCGCTGCTGCGTAACTGATGCCTCAAAGACAAACGGCGCGTACAATGAGCAACACTTCTTCTGTAAATGTGCGAAACAGGCCACATTTCACTTTGATTAATCTGTTCCATTACTACACTTGAAGAAATTATTTTGGTAATTTACCTCAAACTAAAACTCCTCCTGTGCGTTACAGTCTCTGTTGTCTTTTGCCACCATGCAGCTCCACACAAATATTGTCATGGTGTCATGCCTTGGGGTTCAAATTTTTTGCCATCAAATGAAAAAAAGAAAAAGAAAAAAAAAACACTCCCAGCATGCCTCCTCTGTTACTAATTTCACACTTTTTGTTAAGTTCCTCAAGGCAAGTCTGACTTCTGCTGTGTTACTGCACAGCATGGATGTGTTAAGGAACCAAAATGTTGCATTTCGGGACAGCATTTGTGGTACTTCATAGCCAAGAGAAATCATTTCATAACAGAGCTGTATTTAAAAAAGTTTATTGAAAGGTTTTTAGAAAGTTAAAAACCAAAAATATTTAACACTGGATATTGTGCTAAAAAGCCCTTCGAGAGCCAGTGGATGAACTTGATGGGGAAAGTGAATAATTTAAAAGCACAATGCTGCCAGTGGGTTTCCTTACTTATCAACAAAACTGTTCACAGTGTAATTCATCAGCTGTACACCACGGCTATGCACATGGCCCCTGAAGCGATAGATGAAAAATGATGTGACACTGTTCTGTGCTTTTCAGTGATTGAAAATGTGTACACACTTCAATAATTGTCACTGACATGTGAAACTAATGTGGCCCTTTTAGTGCCTCAAGTCTAAATCATTAACAGTGCTAATAGAGTCATACGGACACAATAATAATGACTGAGAATCAGAAGCACAGGACGCTCTTACTCCTAAACCATCACATACGGATGTTTGGTCAGGACTTTTACTTTTGAGTTTCCTTTAGGGTCATTTGTCTACTGCACTTCAGTAGAACCCCCTTAATATCTGAAATGCCAAATACTCTCTGTTGACATGGTCTCTGTCTCATGATCAAACACCACTGTAACCAAGCATGAAGGGACGTTTGCCTATGTTCCCCTCTTGTCAACCCAAAACCAAAGCATAAACCCCTTCAAAACATACATTTTTTGTCTTAATCCAGCTGGCCAGTCTCTAAAGACCAGTTTTTGAAAATGTGCTTAAAAAGGTTTCATTTTGGTTCAGAAGTGAAAAAGTAACACTTCATTTTAATTTCACCTGTTTGGTTATCCACTGTACTCATTTCTGTTGAGTTTTAAAAGTTACCGAGGCCTGAGGAGTTAGAGTTGCTTAAAAAGAAAAAAAAAAAAAAAAAGACATTTTTGATCACATCACGGGGCGACCGTAGCTCAGGGGGTTGGGAAGCGCATCTGTAACCGGAAGGTCGCCGGTTCGATCCCCGGGCTCTCTGTCCTGGTCGTTGTGTCCTTGGGCAAGACACTTTACCCTACTGCCTACTGGTGTTGGCCTACTGGTGTTGGCCAGAGGGGCTGATGGCACGATATGGCAGCCTCACTTCTGTCAGTCTGCCCCAGGGCAGCTGTGGCTACAACCGTAGCTGCCTCCACCAGTGTATGAATGTGAGAGTGACTGAATAGTGGCATTGTCATGCACTTTGGGTGCCTTGAAAAGCGCTATATAAATCCAATCCATTATTATTATCCCTTTCACACATCATTTGGTCCACGAACACCGACTAATATTGTCGGAAGGCATTTTTTCCCGTAAAATCTAAAATATAGAAAACATGTTTCAAGGTAAGGGCAAATGGTTTTCTGTCTCCGTGTTAGCCCTGTGTGTTTCAGAAGATGAATGGACAGCTGTTAATGCCACTCACATATTTCTCTACATGTAAGAGAAGATTCTCATTGGGCTGTGTTTGACTCTGTGCGGCACAGTTAGCTTATTTTGTACGAGTCTGTTCCCACATGCTGCCACGCCTTTCAAACAAAAAGAAATATCTTTCTTGCAGAAAATCTGTGATTTGACTGTTTGCTTGGCATACTGCAATGACCGTACTGTCAGCTCCTGTAAAATTCCACCCGTCACTTCACCGACCGCTTTGCTTTCTGCAGTGTGTGTCAAACAGATAAGGGGCTACAGCTCAGCACACCCGAGCTACAGTAAATACTCAACCTAATTTTTTTTATTGGTCATTCGGCTCAGCTGTTATTAATTAAAAAACAAACAAACAAACAAACATTTCGGTGCTCCACTAAAGTCTTACAGAAACCAGACAAACTAATATCTCCAGGACTCAAAATTTCTCTTTTCTATTTTCTTTTTTCAGTGCGCTTGGTATGCTTGATTACGTTGTGATGATAACACAACAATTTGAAGTTTCGAATCAAAAGATTGAAAAATTATATATACTGCTTTTGAATATTAGTCTGAACCAGACATTTAACCAAAAATGTTTCAAAGGAATGTGGACAACATGCTCACCGCAAAGAAACTCTTTAGGCTGGGTGGTGGCTCCTAGTGAATGAAGCGACATGTGGTGAGTGAAAAACAATGTGACAGTTTGATGTGACGAAGGCTAGACTATGAATAAATCATTGATGGTAATTAATGAACAAATGTGAACTTATTCTATCAGAATACATGATTAATTGACCTTAACAGTGTTTGATTTTCAGAAATTGGTGTCGTCTGCTGATGTCTGATCATTTGTCATGCAATGCTGACTGATCCTACGTCGCCAAATCCTTTTTCTCAATTTATAATCAGACACTTGCTCCATTGATTGACATGCTGTAGTAATTGGATGGCGGGATGGGCATTCCAGTTTACACGGATATTCTCCGGTACTTCCCAATACTTCTCATGCATAATCATCATCATTTCACGTGAGCTTCTCTAAGAACGCTGCCATTCTAAAACGTGCCTGATGCTAATGAAGAGATATGATGCTCCTATTCTGATATTTAATGCTGCATGCACAGGTGAGTCTGCCACAGCACGACTTTTCCCTCCCCCCCACTGAACACTTAAGACGTGGGCTGCAAGAGCTTTTAAAGTCGGCTGCAAAAGATAACACCAGATTTTAGGTCACACCAGAAACAGGGCAGAGCCTGCTCTGGGAGGCGATCACTGATTGGACGCCTCGGGTGACACGGCTGATGATGGACAGCACAGCATGCATGATTGAACAGTATTGTCCTTGAAGAATACTTGACCACAGCTTCACTACATCTTAATAAAATAAGACAGTAGCTGGACCATGTCAAAGTGGAGAAGACTTTAGATCCACAATGACAAATAAATTTTGCAACATGAATCACATTAAACAGGTTTTATTAAACTGGACCAAACATGCTTGTTTCCAATTTCTGGACTCGGGTCAGAATAATTCTTTTGATCTCATACTGGGGCCTGGTGGAGCACCTCAATTCATCCACTATCTGAAACAAGCCACTTTAAATTCCTTGCCTCTTCTTTTCAGCAAACATCTTCTGCTAAAGAAGGTGGGTGGAGCTTCCGAGCCCCTTCACTTATATCAGACAAAGTAGAAAAGAGAGAGGGCCAGGTTGGGGAAAGTCTAGACTTCCATGCAACCCAAACCCAGATAAGCAGCAAATAATGAGCGGATGGATTAAAACTTTTAATATTTTTTTCAAATTTTTATTTCAGGCAGAAATTGTGGTGTAGGCTGTTCTTTTGCCATTGAATTTCCATTTTAATACAATTAAAAGGCTTCATCTGATGCACAGGATCTGAGGATTTGCATTAGTTTTTGATAAAATTCTAAATAAACTCAAATGAAATATTCGAGTAATTTATGAGTATTTTTGGGCACAGTTAAATTACCCTTACTATTAACTAGTGCATGCTTGGTGGTGTCGTGCATACCACATCATGCTTTTTATCCAAAAACTAAAAAAGGCAATTTGGTTCACAATGGCACACAGGTCCCAATGATGCATCGCTGGCATTAGCACTCAGCAGTAGTGGATTTCAGTGGTCAAGTACTCTGCATAACCTTAACTGACCATCGGACCAGTGGAAACTGGTTAAGCTGAATGGATGGCAGCCTTTGCCAATAATATCACTGACTAGAGGCAGTGAGAGGTCAGATGGAGTTACAGGCTGGACAAGAAAGACGATGTTCTGCACTTTTTTAGCACGATGGCATGCATCATCACATCCATCGGCATGTAGGATTAGCCCTGGGATGGAATGGTAGGGTGACAATCAGTTGATTGACTGATGAACCTGTTGACAGGCAGTTCCAGGCCCAGATCGGTGGCTCTTACCACGACGGATATCCGGACCCGTTTGGAAGACCTCCTGATGTCAGGAGACATTAGGCTCTCCATGTTGTTGTTTTTCTTCCGGGGCGACCAGAGACAAGCACACAATGTTAACAACAACCTCAATGTCAATCTGACTTGGCAAAAAGTGCCACTTAAGGCACGGCAAAACTTCCCTGCAATACTGAGAAAAAATACAGAAATTGAAGGGTTATTTCTATGAAACAAGCCATTAATGGGGTGATGCGGGAGTGAAGAGCTTTTCTTTAAAGTTCTGCAGGATGCAAGGCTGAGACAAACTGAAAGAGGTTTTATATTGAAGCTGTTTGAGATACTCTGTGGGTGTGTGTTCGTATCTGTGTGTGTGTGTGTGTGTGTGTGTGTGTGTGTGTGTGTGTGTGTGTGTGTGTGTGTGTGGTACTGTACTGTAGAGCGTGAAGGACTGTATGTGAGAGATAGCATAGGACTATGGGGGTGTACAGAATGTGTGAACAGCAGGATGTGAGCCACTGCGTGTGTGTGTGTGTGTGTGTGTGTGTGTGTGTGTGTGTGTGTGTGTGTGTGTGTTGGCGCCGTTGTTGTTGGGTGTATTCAAGGACATGACTCTCTCACCTCCAGGGCTTCTGTGTCTGGACTGGAGCAGAAAAGGTTCTTCAGTGCAATACCCGAATGATCATGTGGGCCTGAAACAGAGAGAGGAACCAGGGTTAGGTACCTTTTAGGTATGCAGCTCATAGCACCTCTCCCATCAAAATGGCATTCCAACATGTGAAAGAAAACAAGTGTGTTGTTCCAGATGTCTTCATTTTCACTTTGCTCCTATACCCTGTGTCTGGTTTGTAATCCTATATTTTAAGTGTTCAATGGACTGGAAGGCTATGTGTGTGAGTACTGTAACCAAACTGCCTATGTAAACTGCTTTGCAACCCTCTTCCACTCATCTGAAACATAATCGAATGAGGATTTTGTCTTGGTGGCACGGTGCAAAAGGAAAGCGGTATAGAAATATAATATAGAATATATGGTATTTCTAGCATATGTAATAAACACATCTCCTTATAAATAATAATTCAGATACAACAGGAGTATGTACTAACTGCCTACGTGTATTACTACAGGAATTAATCAATGTCAAGTTTTGTGCAGAAATGGGAACTAGCAGGCATATGCCATCCAGCTTTTAGCCTTAACAAAATCCAACATCTAAAATGAAATCACACCAGCACTGACACAGCACAAAAACAAAGAGTGGACAAAGAGGTACAAAAGCGCCTGTTGTGGCTACTGACTCTTGATATTCTAAGCCAGGTTTGTTAAGACACTGTACAAATCCTGCATTCTGTTAGTTAACTTATCGGTTTTGTCATTTAACAGTGGCCACAAAGCAAAAACTGCCATTTGAAACTGTGAGATAGAAAAATGAGTACACTGTGTTGACACCTTGTGGCGAAGCAGACAAACAGTTAGAGATGAAGACAGCTGCAAGAGCTTATTAATCATGTGAGGACCAGAGACTGAGTGCTGTTATTAGCATTTTGTGAGTTTAGAGACAAAGACAGAATCGCTCACGTTTCTTCCAGAGATATAACATTTTTCTATTCTTGATTCTTTTGGATTTCCTGCTTTTGCGTGTGTTTGTGTACGCAAGTGCAGTTCTTACTGGTGGGAAGCTCGGTGGGTCGCTCCACCACAGAGGGTCTTTTCAGAGCAGGTTTGAGGGGCTTATGAGGTACTGGACGAGTGGGACTGAAGGACGACTCCTCAGTTGAGATCTGTGCGCACACACACACACACACACACACACACACACACACACACACACACACACACACACACACACAGATAAGAAAATGCATTAAAAAGGTCCAATCCTGCTTAAGAGATCAGCATCTCTGTTATTTTTCCACACTCAATAGAGAATTGCAATTTCCATGACCTAAAAATGTTTTTATTTGGTAAAAACAATATTGGTTAGTTTTATGGAAAAAGAAAAGGTAGGGTACTTGTATACCCTACTGTAGATGGGAAACTATGTGAACCTGCCTATTTTTAAATACCCTGAATTACCCAGAGTTTCTGGGCAGTAGCATGGCTGCATGCTTTTCTACACTGTATATATTATTTTCTTAAATATAAAGGGGACCCATTATGTTCAATTCCCGCTTCATATCTTTAGTCTTCCACAGCCATAGCTTTGCATGACTGATGTTATAGCAAATTTAAAATCATCAATGTAACTATTTGCCTTTACTACAAATACAGGCAGTAACAAAGAGTGGTAAGAAGGCACAAAGTCAAAGAAAAGAAGAGACTGAAATGAGCATTGTGCACAAAACACACTCCTTGTTCCTGCTTCCACATCCATGCCTGAGGGCGTTCTGCTCTGCCACTCAGTGCAAACTGATAAAAGATGGGGAAAAGGAGATAAATCTCAAGTTTAAGCACTGCAGTGCAGTACCTCCAACCAATGTGGACATCTATCTTTTACCTGGCTGCCCATTTCCATTTCTTTCTTTAAAAAAATCAAAATCAAAACACAGATAACCTCACACATTCATTCAATTCAAGACCTTGCAATACTGATAGAAACCATTGGAACAAGCACTGGCAATGGAGAGGGGAAAGTAACTCCAATCTAACAGGAAGAAACCTCCAGGCTCAGGGTTTTCCATCAGTTGGGGTGAAGGAAGAGAAAAATAATGAGCAGTGAGAAAAATAAACAATAAGCAATAAAAACAAGTGAACAATAAACATGGTCAGGTCAGATCAAAAGATCAAACATGCACAGTGAAGGGTCAGAGACATCTGACAGAGAGGAAGAAGCACAAACTCCACAAGAAGAGATGATACAAAGTTAGTGAAATGCAATGTAGTTACACAGAGGAGACATGCTCAGTGCATCATGGGGAATCTCTCAGCAGCATAACTATGGGAGGGGTCAAAGCCACCTGATCTGACACCTGATATCAAAAAGGAAAATTTTAATATTACAGATATAACAGGCATGGTCTCTGTCTCCTGAACCGAGTGTGTTATAGAGGCCTGGCAGCTGGGGGCTCTGGCTCACATTGCACATGCAGATAATCTAGTAAGCAGACACTGCAGGTTTGTCTTTTCTCAGACATCAATAACCTAAGTTCAGGTAGAAGAAATAAAAATGCTGAATTTGTTACTTTCGTTTAAAACCTGTGCTGAGATTCTTTCACAGAGGTGTAGGTGAAAACGCTAGACCTCTGTGATCCAGCAACCTCTCACCTGGAAGCGGACTTCCTGGCTGGTGCGCTGGCTGCCGTTGTCGTCGCTGGCTGGGTCCAACACGATGGATAGGCGTTTTTTCTCCTCGACGGCTCGTTCCCTGATGTACTGCAGCCGCCTGGCACGGCCGAGCTGCTGTGAGAGCAGCGACTGGAGCTGGGCACGCTCGATGGAACCCAGCAGGATCATTGACTCTGAGAGAAGGAGGCACAAGAGGAAGAGGGAGAGGTAAGAAGAAGACAAAAAAAAGAGTGGAGGAGCAAGTTTGCAGAGGCGAGAAAAGTGAAGATAATGTAAACTTGTTTCAGGGACAAAGGGCGAGCTAACTGCAGCCAATTCCAAACACATGTCGCAGCACTGCAGAGAGCTCAGCTGAGTTACATAACAAAAGCAAAGAATGCAGTGGATGTGTATTAAGTAGTGTGTGTATGTGTGCGAGTGAGTGTGCGTGTGGGTGGCCGCTTACTTGCTTTAAGTAATTGCCTTTGTGACAGTACGTGCTGATTATGTATTTGCTTAAATGCCGAAGCTAATTGTTCCTGCACGACTGCATAATTGAAACAGCGCTCGGAATACCAAATCTGCACTTCAGCGAGGCGGCCGGCGCGATCAGCAGCCTGCACCCAGGCAGGTTTGTCAATCAATCAATTAAACTAATGAGCACATCACCAAGGGCGCTGGAATTTGTTTTTAGTGCGCTTACAACAACATCAGCAGCAGCATGAAACAATGACATGAATAGCACATCAGATGGGGTGATTAGCACACTGTTCTCACACAGGATTTACTACTGTAATAACTGTTGTGTTTCTTATATCACTTTCACACTGGTGGGTGCTTGGAAGTTTACACTTTTTTCTCTCTCTCTCTTTGTTGTAACACATTAAAAGGGACAGTTTTGGGCACACAGAAGCTGGCAGTCAACAATTAACTGTTGCTATTCACTTTAAATATCTGCTGGAAACGTCACTGGAAATTTAGGTTATGTAAAGGACCCAGAATGGGTCACTCTGCATGGGAACTGTAAGGATTGCGCCCTTAAAATCTGAAAATCTTTGAGCAAAACAAACACAGCCTTTCACAAATGTACATTGTTTGGGTTTTTTTTAAGCTATTGAGGTATTTTCTCTGTTTACATTGGGGTTTAGTCAACTTCTGTTGCATTTTGTGCACTTTTGCATCGCCTTTCTATTTACTGGTATTTTCTGAAGTTGCAGTGCATTTGCCCTCTCAGTGCCACTGTAGATGTCACTTAAAAGGACAGTAAAGCATTCTGGTACATAAATGTTGTGTGATGTCTGGGTGAAAAGTGACAATTATGGATAGACATTAATCAAAAAATTGGTCTTTTTTTTAAATCTTAAAGTCCTTTCATGAGGACAGAGGCATACACAACGCATACTGACTGTGACACAGATGAATGTGAGAAATGGTGATTATGTCTCGCCTTGAACACCTCAGTGATCTAGAGGAGGTGGTCTGGGATACAGTTGGGCTTTTCTCTGCTTAGGCAGAAAATGGATGGATTGAAATTTTGTTATTTGTTTTCTTATTTGATTTAAATGAATGCTTAGTACTCTTAAAGTAGGGTCTTTAGTCATGAATAACAACAAATCTTTATATTCTTTTTAAATATCAGGGGACCCATGCATGGCACTTCTCACTGAATGACTCAGACCCTGTTTGCTTTGATGGTAGTCCCTGATCACTGACAACAATGTAGGTGAAAAGAACCTTTTCAGAGCCAGAACATTCATCTTTTATATAGGATGTGTCAAACTGAGAGAATTATGCAGCTTTGTGCTATGCAGTGGGCATGTCAGAGCTATTTTGCTGACAGCAGCAACCTGCTGCAGCTGGAAACAAGAATGAGAATGGAGTTATGTACAAGACAACAAGTATAATGAGCTAAAGATAATTGAGATTAATACAACCAATTAAAACAGAGTGTTGGGTTATACAACATTTCTCTGTGGGTTTGTAGTCACTCATACTACAGTATGAGTGGCAACATTTCAATTATACACAGTAATCTGGGCCACTGGGAAATATTAGTGCAGTTTCAATGCCCATTTAAGGCCAGTGATTTGCCCAATTTGACCATTGTGGCGGGGCGTGGCCTGCGGTGCCTTGCAGAGGAGGTGGACGCACCTGCACGGCATCCGCAATCACACCCCGCTGAATTAAATATTGTACTGGGTCCTGTGGTTGGCGTTGTTGTTGTGATAATGTTGAGCGGGCAGCGGGAGAGCTGCAGCTCTGTGAGTATTGTGGACAGCAACCGTCAAAGCATTAATAAAAAGTATCAAAATGCCACTGGGTCTGCCGTGTATGTTTACAACCATCTTTTGAAAGACTAATTTGATTTGCCAAACGAAACCAGTTTACAGACTGTGCACACTGTATGCTAACAAGCACAGATGTCAGTGGAAGTGGGAGCTGTGTGTTCAGTTTGTGTTGAGCTCAGCCTTTGATTTCATTCGAAATTGAGCAGAAACTCAGAAGTGACAAATAAAGTTTATTCTGTTTTGTTATAACAAAGACTACAGCACAGAGCTGTGTCATAAATATATAAACCAGTGCATTCTGACACATTAAGTTACGCGTTTCAAACTCGATTTTGGCCCATCAGAAATTTGAATCCAGGCCACCTACTAATTTGTGTGCAAAGTGCACACACTTAAAATAAAATAGCCAGACACACCTCGAATGCACCCGCAAGATAACATACTCACAAGAAAGGAAAGTAGATGGTGGAAGGCAAACAATCTCAAGAGGTTTTTACTGACTACTGGTTACTGACTTCAGGGTTGTTATTTTTGAACCACACATCAGCAGAGCTATGCAGCCATGCAGTGGCTCTGAAGTCAAAAGAGGGATGCAGTTATGCCAAAAGTGTTCTCAGAAATCTCAAAGTGCTGGAGCTCTGACTTTCTTCATATCAGAGAAAGTGGCTAAGAACATCTAGGGGGTAACTTTGCAATCAATCAACAATTAATTTAATTAAAAGTTGTGTTCAGCAGTGGTAAACGAGGGCAGATTTCATCATAAAATGCAACGCAATAACAAGGTTTTACTGATTCAAAGCATTAATGATGCCGACTTTGTAGAAAATGTATGAAATAATATTCAAATGGCACAACGGGGCTAATAGTAACCAATTTTACACATTGGTGATTTTCAATAGGCTCCATATTGACCCCTGGTGGTTCGAAATTTCAGTTTTTAGACAAACCTTTGAAGTTAATTATTAGACATGCACACATTTTTAAAATTTGTCTCTATTTGTGCTGTAGACACAGATAAATACAGTCATGTGGTTTCTTATAGAAAAAATATCTGGACATGTGTGTCATTGGAAATAAGTGTATGTATTGCAATGAAACCTGTTTGTGTATCAACAAGTGGAATAACGTGAAACTAAACTTCTAAATGTGTTACTCAGACTTTATACTGATCTCTACGATGGTGCACGTGTGTTTGTGTGTACCAGCTGATTCCACGAGTGCGAGCGTTTTGAGCTGGCCCGTCAGCAGCACGTTATGCAGGTCTCTGTAGCAGCAGTTGAGTGTGATGTACCGCACGTCGCGTACCATAATGTCCTCTACACGAATATTGTACTTCCTGAAATGAGAAAAGAGGAGAGACATTTATCAAGTGGTCATAAAGATGAGAAAAAAAAGTGAGAATAAGACAGATGGATGCGAGAATTTATTTTTAATTTTTTTAAACATTCCTCTGAATAGCCCTTTCGTCGCTGACTTGTAAAAATTTTGTGTGACTGTCATGCACTTTTTCCTCTGATGAGCTGTCAACTGAAGCTTGATTAGTGCATGGATCTATAAACACTTCCCCCCACATACTGTACGGCTTTGACAGCACATCCTTCTTTCAGCTGACCGGTCAATCCAATAACACCTTACTCTGTCGACACGTCATCCGGATGCTGGTGCTCTGCGTACAGTATTGGAAAGTGGGTGACATTTCGCGAGCAGCTCTTGCCTCAGCATAATCGTACGCCCCAGTACACCAGTCAGAAGCACTCGCATTTCTCTCCCTGAGAAAGCCTGAGCCTGCCAAAACCTGCAAACATGACCGCAGTCACTCAGTGGTTTTTGCTGCCAAGCCTCCGCAGCCGTGCCAGGATGCAGGCTCCTTCTGTGGTGACAAGTCAATACACTGACCTCGCTTTAAATACAAAGGTAAATTGATGACCATTGTCTGCCAGCTCCTCTTTAATACACACAATGCATGAAGTTAGTCCAACATCCCTCTTAGGGAAATGAATGGCAACAACACAGTTCTGCAGAAAGATTTTCTATTGACTCTCTTGAGGTGTTGTATCAAAGCCTAATTCCACTTTACAAACAGTATTCGAGGGTCACTTAACCTACACTGTAAAGAGTAGTATCTCAACCATATTAGACAAGAACATGAAAACAGGAAGGGAGTTCTTCTAGAACCAGTATTTTTTTTAATGCCACTGGACATAAATCTCGAGGCTGAAAAACTGTCCAATATTACTGTAATTCCAGGAAATGATTGACTCAGTATCTAAATTCAGACAGTGTTGGATTTATTTGTCTAGGTTTTGAGGTATTTACTTCCACTGTACACAATGGAGGTGAACTAAATCTTGTTTGTGTGCCTCACAGCACTGAAAAATGACATTAGTGGCACCAGCTTTCATTTTTCATCGGAAGCACTTTGGAATTTAGTTTCAGAAAAAAATGGTCCCAAAGAAAAATCCTTATAGTGAGGAAAGTAGACTCCTAGAAAGAAATTAATAATTGAAATATAACTTTTTGATTTTATGTACCCTCAGCAGGCATGTGCCTGTTAGATTTATTCCCACCCTTTTACAAAGCTTGCCAAAACCATAACCCTATAGCTATATAACAAGAGGACAATTAGAAAAAAAACATGCAGTTTTGTAATCTAAATGAAAGTAATAGAAGGTCTTTATCTTTGTTATCAATAACTCACCACTTTTAGACATCTTGTAAATCAAACCATGATCAGAGACCATGAAATGTTAATGAAATTCAGCATATTTTGGGCACCACTAAAGATTTTCCTGCTTCTCTACATACCTAATGTTATCATTAAGAGAAAAAAAACCATTGGAAGGAACTGAATCGTTACAGTGCTCTATTAGTCTGCAATGGAAAGCAGAAAATTAAAAAAAAAAAAAAAGGGTTAGCAAAAAGATCCTTTCTGGTGCAATAGCAGCCTCTTTTAATTTGATAGTGGATCTGAGGGAATAATGTAATGCATGCCTCTGAACTGGCCACAACCACTGCCAAGACTAATTTCCCTTGAGATATCAAAGGCAGTTGATGAAATGTGATTGGTTTCTTCTTAATTGGACCTTCCTCCCCTGCAAAGACTGGGCAGGAAGATACTGATCAGTCTGACTTATATCGAAGTGAGCATCAACCTATATGTTTAAGCCAAGAGAAACAAGCTTATAGGGTTATAAACCCAGGCTTCATAGATCATCCACATTGCTCAGGGCAGAATGGAGGGAAGGTTTGGCTGTTAGGTTTCTACATGCTTGAGTGAAGAGGGTGCAGACATTCAGGACAAGCGGTGAAAACTAATAACTAAAGGGCTGTAATGATCATCTGCCGGAGCTCCAATTATTGTCAGAAAAATAGAGATAACAGCGGACTATAGACTATTCAATCAATCAGAACTGGCCATTATGAAATGACTAGGAAAAGCAAAGTGACAGAATAAACAAAAGACAAACACATGGAAAGTGATGTTATGTAACAGTCGCCACACTTTCTTTCAAATACCACTCCAGTGTTGAAGAACGGAAGGCACAGGAAAAGGTTTCATATCCGCAGCGGATCATATATAAGATCTTTGTATTTGTGTCCATCTCAACATGTCTGCTTGTATCTGCACTCATATCTGTAAGAGTTGTGCGGGAGCAAAGTATTGAAAAAAAAATCAAATTCTGTCCATGCCTGTGTGGGAGTATGAGCAAATGTACATGCTATCATACGCGTGCACTGCACGGCAGGCATTACACAAGTGTTCCTGGATTTGTGAGTGTGTGTGTGTGGGTGGATGGTTGCGTGGGTGTGAGATGGATAATTTCCAGTTAGAGTGAAAAACACGTTCTACTTGGAGCGGGCCACACTACCTACCTACAGTGTCTCACCTACAGGTCCGCCTCCACCTCCACTTGCGTATGCTGCAGACACACGCACACACACAGGCCTGCTGATGGAAAGTGGTGTGTGAGAGAGAGTGAGGAGAGAGGCACCAAAGAAAATAGAGTAAATGAAGGAGGAGGTAGGTAAGAGCTTTCTGCATAACGAGTCAAGTTCATGGAGGCCTATGTGTTATTGAAGATAGATGATTCCAAGAGTTTGTGTACGTGCTCAGTGTTTACACACAAACAAACACATTATACATATCATATGGATTCACAATACTGGCAACGTGTTGTTATATACAGAAAATGACAGATGGTTGTGTCATGACTTATTTTCAATATGCCCAGGCTCATATCCACACACACACACACACACACACACTCTATGCATGTGTGATTTTAAACATTTGCAAACGTTATCATTAAGATCCACACACACAGCCACCTGCCTTATATAGTGTTGGTCCCCCTTATCCTGGTAAAAGAGCCTGTACTGTCGAGGCATAGGCTCCACTAGACCCCTGAAGGTGTGCTGTGCTATCTGCCAACATGTTAGCAACAGATCCTCTAAGCCGTAAGTTGTGAGGTGAAGCCTCTGTGGATCAGACTTGTTCGTCCAGCACATCCCACAGACTGAGATCTGGGGAATTTGGAAGCCAAGTCAACACCTCAAACTCATTGGTATGCTCCTCAAACTGAACAATTTTGCTTTGTGGCAAAAAGCCTTGGGCACACATGACCCTGTCACTGGTTCATCACTGTTCCTTCTTGGACCACTTTTTATAGATACTGACCACTGCAGACTGGAAACATGCCACAAGAGCTGCAGTTTTGGAGATGCTCTGACCCAGCTGTCCAGCCATCACAGTTTGGCCCTTATCGTTATGCCTATTGGTACATGCATGGACAACTTGGATCTTATTTAGGCATTACAGGATTCATACAATATTATTGTAGAAAGTTGCGTTATGTGAATTCATGGGAAAATTCTTTTTAGGCTTCTTGTAATATCACAATGACCACTAGGATATATTGAGATAAAGGCTACCTATGCTTTATGCAGCTAATTTGAACTGCAACAGCTGGCAGTAATGAGGTTAGATGAAAAAGGTGCCACACTGGAAAAATCTTTTAGACAGGCCACTGAAAAAAAAAAGGTTTTATTTTTTGACCAAAGTGTTTCCAACGAGAAGATTCAGTTTGTGTGAGAGAAGATTAGCTGGTTTACAAAACTTTACAAATATAAGTGAGAATAATATTCCAACCTACACCGAACAGCAGTGCTAAACAGCCTCCCCAAGGTTTTTCATGTGGCATGTCTTCCCTGCTATGGGTGAGGTAGCCACAAATAGCATTATATAATCAGAAATAAGAGGAACCTACAAACTAGACAACAACTACTTGGTGAAAACACAGCTCACATTGCAGTTTCTTACTCTCCCTGACATACACATGCATACACGGACAAGACAAGATAGTGAGAGTGTGATTGAGAGGCCACAAGGTCACAGCAGATAATAAGAAGAGACAGAGGAGGACAGAGCAGATAGAGTGAGAGGGGAATAGATAACGAAGAGATGGACAGCGAGGGTCAACTGAGGTGCTGGCATAGGGCTGTTCGATATAACGATATATATCGGATGACGATATAAAAACGTCTATCTTTTTACGCTATCGTTTGTTTCGTGGTGTCGCAAAATAAACTGTTTACGGCAATATTTTTTCATCATTTTGATGGTCACTGCAGCGGCTATATTAATTTCTTAAACTTCTCTCTTTCTCTTATATTTTATATAACCACACTACAGACGGACAAACAGCTGTTTTTATGCATTGTGGTTAGCAACAACGACAGTAACAGCATTGCGTGTCCGCTTGTTTATGTTCCACATAAACCTTTCACAATAAAGCTCAAGATCCTGTTGAGACTTTTCAAAATAAACTGAATCACGTGAAAGAGCAGATTATTTACGGATGAGAATTTAAAAAAAGAGCCGCCAGGTGCTAAAAAATAAACCTTAGACTCAAACGTTAGAACAGGCTTTTCCCCGCAGCACAATGTATAATAAATACTCACAAAGAAAACAGCAGCCGATACAACCTATGTCTAAAAATGTATCGTTTCATGCATCGGTTAAAACACTCGACTCCAGCTACATGACGCGCAGCTGGAAACACTTCCCGCAAGACGAGCTGCCCGAGATTCACAGAATTTACAGAAAATGTTACATTTTTGTGATTTATATCGATAGAATAACGATAGAATTCTTATATCGGGATATGAGATTTTGGTCATATCGCACAGCCCTATGCTGTGAAGTGAAGGACTCAAGCAACACACATAAATGTAACTCTACAGTGAACAGCTTCAGAAAATAATGAACAAGCAGAGGACCAAAGAAAACTTTTCCTCATTGCTTTCAATTTGTGAATGCCGCATCAAAATTAAACTATTATGTTCACCTAATGATTTGGCAGCATTTATAACATCAGTTCCAAACAATTACACCAACAGCGCTTTTATATGGAATCACAGAGCTCTGATGACACCAGGCAGTGGGTAATCCTATTCAGCATTGTGTCTTTGGCATTATTATTAAATGTGAAGTCCATTAAAAACCATGTACCAAGCCAGGTTCCTCCAGCCACACTTGTATTTTTGTGCAACAGATTTTACTGTAGTGCTATGATTGAGTTTAAACACCCAAATTAAAGGCAACAGTCAAAGCCATTAAAAAACACTGCAGACTAATGCTGAAGCAAGTGTATTCAGTTATTTAGTGAGCAACTAAACACAAATGTATTCATACAGTCAGTATATTTCATACAGTTTAGCCATAGTATGTTAGGCTGATGTAATCAGCAGAATGAAATGTCTCAACGCTTCATTCATAGTTAAACAGCATGCCACATAGGACAAAATTCCCTGCTGAGCCTCCAGTTTGACTCCACACAAGCCACTCTTTGCTACAGTGTCATTATCCTGCTATCTTTATCCACAAATCCTAACTTTATTGCAACATCTAATAAAGGCTGCCCTGCGAAATAACTTCCATGGTTGATCATCAGTCACTGAGTGCCACCATAAACTTATCAGCGCCATTAAAGAATCTACAGTTGTGGTTGAAATTTCTCTACAACTAGCAGTTTCCCTTTGCCAGCTTAAAAAGGATTTCTTTGAAAACACTCATTGGACTGACCAATCAGAACAATGCAAAAGCTGAAGTCTCTTTCTCACCTTAGAAAGGTTTCTTGGACCCACATCTGAGGTTCTGAGATCATCAGTTTTACCAACTGTGTAAATGCAAGCTATTCAGATGTGTCACTACATTGCCTATGTCTGGAAGAAGACTCACGCTGTCACCCTCAGAGAGGAAATTGTTCAGGAATAACCCAGGAACCACCTAGGCGTAAACCTGCCATGAACTACAAACTGCTGGAACATCTGCATCACTGTCAACCGTGAATCAAGTTTAATATCACCATGGACTAAGAGGGTGCAGACCAAGAAAGAAGGCAATGCTCCAAAATAGACACCTTTACATCTGTTCACATGCACAAGCCAGATGCCTTTTAGAGATTTTTTTTTTTTTTTAACTTGGCACAAATAGTTACCAGAAATGTAAGGAAAAGGTATGTTTAGAGCAATAAAAAATGAACACTAACTGTGTAGGAACTATAAAGCATGGTGGTAGTGGTAGCATAACTCTCTGGAGCTGTTTTGCTGTTTTCTCTGGAGCGGTTTTTAGCTGAAAAATTGACACTACTGGGTGTTCCAACAACACAATTTTCCCAAACACATTAAAACTGGTTTTTCGAATCGATAAAAGAGGGTGACATTAAGCTTCCGGCATGAACTCTGCTAATTCTACCAAGAAGAGTAGTCAAATGTCCAGCAAGAATAATGCCACTATATAATAATATGCTGTACATAATGCTGCTAATGCTGCTTATATGAAAGTTACCTAAAAAGGGACTATATATATCATTTCTCCGACAATGCGGTGGATTCAGACTAACACTCTAATATCTGCAAAAAGTATTTTAACTGCTATCATGCCAACGTGATCATGCCAAAAACTTGAAAGCTAAATGTTAGCATGCTGTCTGTGGACTAATGTCGGTACAGTGAGTCTGACTCTGCCCCAAGGTAGCAAAATCCCTCTCATACAACCTCTGAAGTTTATAAATTCCCATGTTATGATTTGCAATGCTTAACTTCACATAATAATAAGTTACGCTAACAGCATAATAGGGGTGCCTTTATATTTACCAGATAAATATAACAAAGTAATAAATCTTCTAATTCAGCTCCCACCAATTAATGTGCGCATTCTTTTTTTGAGATGACATAAAGTTTTATTGGGCCCACTGACAACTTTATCATGCTAACATTTTAAAATCATTTTGTCTGTGGGCTAATAAAATTATAGCTGGCCTCGAGCTGTCCTAGGTACCAAAAATTAGCCTAGTAACACTTCTAATGCTGAGTAATTTTCATGTTGTACTTGTTTAATCGCACACTATGCTAAAGCTGACACACTGGTCGTCATAGTGGTTTTTCATTTACAACCTATGCTACTGAGCTTTTCAAAATCATTAACAAAATCAATAAATGCATTTCCCAAAACCCTAATTTATTCCTTTCTTTGAAGCATACTGTTAAATTAGATTTCTTAACAATTTGATGCATAGATATTATATGACCTTTAACCTTTTGCACATACTATAAACCTTTACCATTATTTTTTGAATTCTTATTAGCTGTTGGTTTAGTAGTTAACATTCTGCATAATGGTATTTACAAAATTAAAACTTATTTGTAATTTGTCTTGTTGTGTGCTGGTGTTTCTCTAGAATATACATACTCGTGATGACCCCAGCCCAGCTCTGGGAGGTAGGGAAGCTTCTTGATCCTGATGATGGAGTCGTAGAGGGAGGGCTGCAGGGACTGGGCCACGGCATTGGCTAAGATCACTGCTATCATTACCGGCAGGATGTGGGAGATCTGGCCAGTCAGCTCAAACACGATGACTGCAGTAGAAACCGTGTGGGTGACTGCTCCCGACAAGGCTGCAGCACCTTTGGGTTTGGGAGAGGACAGTGGGGTTAGTAGAGGACCAGAGAGAGAAAGTGTAGAAATAACTGGTTAGACGTTTGCTTGTAAGGTGAGATTTGGGGCTTTAGAAAGGGGTCCTTTGGGTGGCATTCAAAGCCCCCCTCCAAAAACAGATGGGTCAATACTAATATGATTTCAAAGAGCAATAAAATACTATCTTACTGTCCCCAGGCATATGACAAGGAGAACTGTTGATTAATGCCAGAGACTCAAGATTCTGACAAGCTGCTAAAATTTCTAACTTACACATTTCGCTTTCTGAGTCTCAGTTCTTCAAAGGTCTTTTGAAGATGTTAAAAGAAAAAAAAAACCTTTTTCTTGCACTTGGTTTCTTTACCATATTGATCCATCATCAGTGACTTCATTACTGTCTGCGTTCCCCCCAAAACTACAGGAAGTAAAATTAGCTAATCCCAAAATGAAAATACATAATCTGAAGTCTTTCAAACGATACAATAGAAAAGCTAACAATGGCGAATTACTTGTTTTGGAACATGATCTGTAACTTGTGCGAATTAGAGCAGTGCTTTCGGATGTTTTATAACCAACCTTCCAAGACTCTTTACTTCAACTACTACATGTCCATATTACACTATTATTGGTTGTTGCCGTTAGCTGTGATATAACATCTTATAAAAACATGTATAAAAAGTGGTAATTTTAGGCTTTACTTCCCTTGGTACAATCAGAAACTGTTTCTACTGAGCCTATAAAGACCTAAAAACTGTACTTGATTTAAATTAGCACGCTATATTTAACCATACACTGCTACGGTCGTTGTTACTACATTTCAATCCAGTTTTGACTTGGCAGTTCTGCTGATTTTTTAGTGGTCATAGCCAGAGAACTGGTTTTTATTACTGTGACAGTAATCTTCGTTTTGAAGTTTTGGTCATTTTAGGAAAAAAAACCTTTGATATTTGTGCTCGGCAAACTTGAAGGTACATAATTAAACTTCAAATGTCCACCTCCAAGTGTTTAAATCGATATTCCTACAAAACAGTCCAAATGCAGCAGGTGTACAAGATGTGCTCTAGCACTACACATGAATCCAAGCTTGACAGGGGAATTGAATGAACTTAAATCATTAACAGCATTTAAACAAAATTATAATAATTTTACCTTAGTGTTGTAGCGTGCACAGTGGGATAGATTATTTACATTGTCTACAAGAAGCTGTACATTGTATAGAACACATTTATAATCTAATCTACAAAATCAAACTTCAGATTTGGAAGTTAATTCACTCGAAGAGTCTTAAACAACAAAACAACAGAGCACTTTGCTCTCACACTGCAGGCTTACTTGTTGTTCCTCTAGTATTTAGTAGTATGGGAGGCAGAGTCTTCAGTTTTCAGGCCCCTCTTCTGTGGAACCAGCTTCCAGTTTGGATTCAGGAGACAGACACTATCTCTACTTTCAAGATTAGGCTTAAAACTTTGCTTTTTGCTAAAGCATATAGTTTGGATCTGGTGACCCTGAATCCTTCCTTAGTTATGCTACAATAGGTGTACGCTGCTGGGGGATTCCCATGATGCATTGAGTATTTCTTTTTCAGTCAACTTTCTCACTCACTATTTGTTAACAGACCTCTTTCCACTGAATCATACATCTCTGGCTCCACGACCCCAACTGGTCGTGGCAGATGGCCGCCCCTCCCTGAGCCTGGTTCTGCCGGAGGTTTCTTCCTGTTAAAAGGGAGTTTTTCCTTCCCACTGTCGCCAAAGTGCTTGCTCATAGGGGGTCAAATGATTGTCGGGTTTTCCTCTGTATGTATTATTGTAGGGTCTACCTTACAATATAAAGCACCTTGAGGAAACTGTTGCTGTGATTTGGCGCTATATAAATAAAAATGAATATAATTGAACACTATCTCATCCATATTGACTCAGTTCAAGCAACTAAATACACATTTATCCCCCCCACAGCCTTCTCCCCTATTTCCATAAAGCAAAAATCAACTATTTTGAATAATTCAATATAAAAGGAAACGTTACATTTGCAAATCTATTTAAAAAAATAAATACAGAGTAGTTAAAAGAGGAATACTCTAGCCACATCAAAGCAGAAAGAGCAGCATGGGCAAAGTGAGTGTTTATCCTAACAGAGAAAATGGATGAGACCAATCCAAAGAATGAGATGAACACCAGGGGGAAAAATACCAGAGAATGAAAGCATTAAAATAAAAAGAGAAACAGATGGTGAGTAAGAGAGTCTACAAAGACAGGTTTCATTGTTCTTTCTCCTAACTTAATTAAGCCCATGTATGCCCCTCAGATAAATGCTGCTGCTCCCTCTGCCCATCCCAACACTTATTCCTTAAAGCAAGCTCCGCTGCGAGATGAAAGAGGCTCATCAGAGTGTCAGGTCTGTAAAGGGGTGACTCATCAGCTATAGTGCAGCACAACAACAACAACATCAGCCCCAGAAAAACAGCCACCGCCAACCCATAACACTGGCATAATCAGCACGGCTGTCAACAAGTAGCAACTGTAGCAACGCTGCACCTCATTAGACACACAACTTCAGGAAGAATCTATAATGTATGTAGTGCAACCATTTCTTTAAAGAAATACTGGGTACAGCTTCACTATCCAGTGTATACAATCATTACCCTTTGCTGGTTATTATCACTTATTTTACTATTTGTCTGTGTATCCAGACAAATAAATCATCTAGACTGATACATCAGACATTAGCTTGTCGCAGTGTTTGTGGCTTCTGATGAGTAACAACAAACAGAAGTAAAGATATGCCATAGGGAAGTTCTGAGTCATTAAACATAATGTCTCTATTACATGGTTTGTTCACCAGAGAGTAAAGATCTCAGTATTGTTTGTTTAAGGTACATTTGTTTAATAAACCATACAGGAAAACTAAAAAAAACAGAAGAAAATAAATATTTTGACATTATTAATAAGTTAAAATAATCATTTGCATTAACTAGCTTATTATTATCACTGTCCAGAGGGGGTATTTTTTGGACGTTATATGCGTAATTATTGGTAGTAAACTAGTAGTAGGAAATTATGGCTGTTGATTAAAATTTTCCACATATTCTAACAAACTTGTTGTCTATCACATTACTTTTACAATTCAGTTGCTCTCCTTGTGTTTAACTTCCCTTGATATTTGAATAACAAAGCTGTGACACTATGAGTGCAGTGCATTGTTGATTTAATGACTGTATTAGTACAAACAGGGGTGTGCAGTGTGAGTAAAAGTTGATGAGCAACAGCTGTCATATTTACCATTAGCTTTCTATTTATCCTTGTTTAAAAATTGGAACTAATAAAAATTGTAATGAAATTATCGAGTTTCTGGCAGGTTTAAAAATTAAGTAAATACAACCTTTAAAAAAAAAAGTACAAATACAACCTGAGATGAACACTAACCTTATATTACACATTGTTCATGGTTCGGGAGCTTGTAGAACAACCTGTAGCAGCAATAACTACTTCTTTGCATGGCTATTAGTCTGTCATATTATTTCTTTGCGGGCATTCATGTATGCACAGCTCTCTTAAGGTCCCCAAACAGCATTTTAATCAGGTTAAGGTCTCAGCTTTGACTCTGTCCAGTGGATGCCCAATCTAGTTTGAAACAAGTCTTAGCTGTCGAACACATAGCCTCACATTTTTCTCAAAACAAAGACTATGGTGTACAGGAGTTTATGGTCAGCTCAATAACAGCCTAGCATTTGTCTAATAAATTATAACATGGGATAATGTGTCATGTTTGGTAGTTCATTTCTCAGAAATCTATACAGACAGACTTAAAATGCAGAGAAATAATACAGTTTCTTATCAGTTTCTTTTAACACTTAAATTATATTCTTTTAACACTTTTTGTATTCATATATATATTGTTCAAGTACATTATTCAGTCAACACAAAACAAAAATATGCCTTTGCCAAGCAACAAAACAATGTCTGCTTCTTAACAGGACTCCTGGATTGCACATTAGCTTGGATATTCAACTTCCAGACTTTCTAGTGGAATATGAACATCTGACAACACCACTGTGAAGAAATTTGTTTTGTTTTTTTCAGCTGGTGTCTAAACTGTTTTGCAGGAGTTTCTTTGTCATGACTGGTCTGGGGATCTTATAAATATAATTTGATTTTGTCTGGAGTACTTGAGTCTGTTCATATTCCGTGTCACCTTTAATCAGTGTCAACTTAAAGCCTTAACTTGGAGCTGAAAAACTGAGCAATTCTGCTACAGGAAATATTTCTGTGCATTCACTTTTATTTCTCTTGCCATCAAAGATGAAAGACCTTCACAGAAAGCCAAGAAGAAAAATGTGTATATAGGTTTATAATGCAAAGGCTGTATCACAGAGGAATTGTAGAAGCAAACGTCTTTTATTGCAGCAAAAATATGTAGATTAGGATGGAGAGTGAGAGACAGCTGAAAGGTGTGTGTCTTTAACTTACCCACAACAGCATAGCCTCCTGGCACTATGGGGTAGATGGTACCATCTGTGTTAATGCCATCAGGGAACCAGGCAGCCATGCTTTCTCCAACCAGACGACCAAAGGCTGCCCCTGAATTACACAGGGAAACAGAGACACACAATCATTGTGACCATTTCGCAAGTGCAATACACTAAAGCCAACCACTAAAACATAAATCCTTAGGTCAAAAAGTACAAACATCTTGGGTATGCTAAAAAGTTTTATAGTGAAAGTTTAATAACTGTATTTGATTATGATTTTCTCGCTGTTTCCAAATATGAGCAATACACCACTGCTTTGGTTCTCATGTGAACGACAGCATCAAGCACTCCTTATTTGAAAAACCTTTCTCTAAATGGAAATTAACCAATTAAAAAAACGAAAACTGTAACGTTGGTATTAAGCCACACCAGGGTATTTAAAAATGATTGATTTTTTTCCCCCAACCATTTTGAAAATACTGTACATATGCCTTTCTTATACACCAGTACACGTGTACTGTACTTTATGGGTGGTGAACAAGAAAGCTGGTTGCCTGACTCTGTGTTAGCACTGCAACAGGCTGGTGACCAGTCCGGCGCGTACCCTGCCTCCCACCCTATGACAGTTGGGTTAAGGCTCCACCACCACCCTGAATTGGATGTGGTGTTCCTGGTCAAATGTCAGGAGGATATAAAGTTATGAGGTCAAAAGACATCACCTAATCCCATGTACCATATACCTACAGCGACAATTGCCTCCTCTCTCCTCAACTGACAGTTGGATATTTGAAATGATTGTTATAGTTGCATCTTTTGTTTGGACAGGAAAGCAGGGTAGCAATTAGACTTAGAATAGCAGATTCAATGGCAGCAGTTCCAGTGACAGTCTAGAATGCTAATTAGATTGGTATCATAAGTTTCACTTCCTGCTTAAATAAAGATACTAATAATGCCAAATAAATGCCCAAATTAAATACAATAACATTATTTGTATTTAATTAGTGGCAAACATATATAGTAATTTATAGTACGTTAACATGACTGACTTTCAAAGGATTTATTTTTGTTTGATTTTTTTGGTAAATATGTTAAATTACACAAACGTAATCCTGTAGAGTAGGGTTAAACCTAGGGTTGGGTTTCTTCTGTCCCTTTACACACACAAACACATGTAGTCATTTACTTCTTACCAATGACAAATACTGGCATGAAGGCTCCGGAGGGCACTGGGATAGTGATGGCCAAGGCAGACATCCAGAACTAAGAGGGAAAATAGAAGCAGATAAAGAAAGAAAAGACATGAAAAGAAAGAACAGGGTGGCATTTCAATTAGCTTCAGAGTACCATCCGGTGTGCCCCTCGATGATAGCCAAGCTGAACCCTCTACCAGCAGTGAGGAGGCAACCATGCGAGGCTTATTGCTGAGGTTAGATTGAGCTGTCACTTTCACTCTCCATTTGACAAAGACCCTGAAATAAACCCCTGGGTAATGAGCGGACTCTGCCGATTGGCCGACGGTGCACCAGACGAGCGGAGAGACTGCTAATTAGGAAAGAAACAAAAACGGAAATGTCATCACTGACAATGTGTGAGCATTATCGTCAGGTCTGTGTGTGTGTGTGTGTGTGTGCAAATGTATAAGTGTAGGAAGATGTAGGAAGATGGTTGAACAGAGATGAGTTTTAAAAGGCTGTCATACTCACTTATGGAAATGAAAGTCTGCACTGATACCTGGGACATCGTTAAAACGATGATCCACGCTTACTTGACTGAACTCAATGTTAGATTAAAAAGTCTTATTAAAATTCCATTTATACTCCACACTACCAGCATAGTATTTATCGGTTCTTCAGTAAAAACTGTCTGATCACTCTTTCCATCCTTGACACTTGAGGTAGTTAAGACTGACTAAGTCAACCTTCAAAGTTAACTCTAACTCAGTTTATTTGTAGAACAAAGTGTATTTTTTAACCTTTTCAATGTCTTAATAAAGAAATCCTCACTGAGTCAAATCCTTACTTGTTCCCACGGTCACCAGTTCACACATGAAGGCCATTTGGATCACTTCTGTACTGTAGACCGGTAATCCAAGGTGCATTGAATCATGAGCACCAACATGCTGCACTCTACTCACAACACACACCAAAAGCATCTTCCAAACATTCAGTCTGTTAAGGCTACAAAACAATCACATCTCTCTGACTTGCCCTCAGTGCCAACAGGATTGCTGTGAATCATACACTGGGGAAACCAAACAACTGTTGGTTAAGCGCAAAACAGAAGAGCTACCTCGTCGGGCCACAACTCTGCTCTCTACACCTCCGGCCCCGACTCTTGACTCTCAACAATGATGATGTGCACATTCTGGCCAGGAAGCAATGCTGATTTGGGAAATCAAAGAGGCCCAGAAAAGGAACAACCATCATATTTGAAAAGAGATACTCTAGACACCAAACTGACTGCTTATGTAAGAAATTAATTATCTCGAACATGAGTTTTCTAGGAAATGTGAGAGTCTGAATGTGAGGCTGAAATATTGCTTGTACAACACTAAATGCTGGTTGAGGTTGTTTCATTTTCCTTTCAGACAGAAACAGGAGTTTAACAGAGAGTACAAGACACATGTACGAGCTTGTTTCAGCTGAACTGTGTAACGAAAGTTGGGAAGTGCCTTAGAATCAGGTTCCCAGTGAATGAGGGGTAAAAATGTTTCAGTGCGAGTCTCCCTAGGTCTTGATTATCCAATCCATTAACCTCCTAGGACCTGGCGTCCACATATGTGGATTTCACATTTTGGGTTATTTAGACTAAAATACTCAATTTTGCTGGGTCCACTTACAAGGACATTATACTGCTACTGTTCTAACAAAATTTTAAACGAATATCCTCATATGTGGCTCTTATTTTTCTTAAAAACAAAAATTAAGGTAAAAAAAAAAAAAATCTGGTAATTCTTTGTTTTTACATTCATCGGGCCCCAATATGCCCAAATATCAAAGAGAAATTAAAAATGAATGTCGTGGAAGAGTCTGGGTCTTAGGAGGTTAAGGTACTAACGAAAAGAAAAGGAAAGAGGATTTGGAGCTAAAGTGCTTTAATAGCCCTTGAATTGAGTAATAAACTAATCGACTGTAAGTAAATCAATTAGTGAGTATTTTAAAAGTTCACATTTTTGAGTAAGTTAAAGCTAAAATGTCAAAACCTTTTCTCCAAATTCTGTAATCATTTATTCTGTAATTTGTTAAACTACAGGTAGGCTTGTGCATATGTTTCCATGTCATTTTGAAAAATCAAAGCAAAATACTTTACTTTAAATAACAAATTCAAAAAACTATGTCCATTTAAATACAAATATTAACATACAATGTAAAGTTGGGTATACAACATTTTATGGTTGAGACTGTATGTGGTGGAAACAGTTGGGAACAGTTTTTACTTGCTGTTCCCAACCAAGTAACAGGTCTCTACAAAGGGTCACACAGTTGGACTAATATAATCTTTACTGATTTTGTTTCCTTGATCTTGACCTGAGATTGTGAATTTGAACAATTTTAATTGTTTAAGTAGCATCTGCACAGATAGCATGCTAACTCAAAGCTAGCCAAGAGCAGAGTGATGTTAAAGCTGAGTGCATGAAGACCCCAGCCCACCAGCCAGAGCCTGAACTTCAACAAGAAACAAAGGCAGTGATGAGCAGCTAGACTGCAGCCTCTGTTTCTACCTGTTCATGTCTCTAAAGTAGAATCACTGGGGTAATTAACTTTGAAGTCTGTTTAGGCTCATTGTCATATAATATCCACTTTTACTGCTACACAGATGACACAGATGACAGCTACTCTCCTACCCACATCCATTTCTGACTGTTTAAGTGAAATCAAGGTTTGGTTTACTCATAACTTTCTCAAACTTTATGGTAATAAAACAGAATTTATTCTAATAGGCACCAAATCAAAACTGACTAAAGTTCTAACCAAAGTCTTTCATTATCCATTGATAACGCTGTTGTCACCCCTTCCCCTGAGGATAAGAGTCTTGGTATCATCCTCGACAGCACTCTTTCCTTCACAACATATATAAATAATATCACTCGGTCTTCTTATTTTCATCTTCGTAATATTAACCGCCTTCATCCTTCACTCTCTCCAAACAGTACCGCCATATTTGTACTGCTTTTGTCACATCTAGTTTAGACTACTGCAATTCTCTTCTCTATGGTCTACCTCATAAGCCTCCACATAAACTGCAGTTAGTTCAAAATACAGCTGCTCATATTATATGAAAAATTAGATCTTCTGAACATATAACACCTGTTCTAACACAGCTTCATTGGCTTCCAGTTCACCTCCAAGTCAATTTCAAGATCCTGCTTCTTACTTAAGAGCACTTAAAAACCTTGCGCCTCCATATTTACCTGACCTTCTTCACATGTACTCACCCCTACGTACACTCCCCTTTTCTTCAGCTTCCCTTCTGTCTGTTCCAACTGCTCACCTGACTACAATGGGACTGACTACCAAAACTTTGGAATGCACTTCCACCAGATCTCCGCACTATTAACTCTGTTTTTAAATCACATCTTAAAACCTATGTATTCAGAATTGCATACCCTTAATCACTTTTCTGTCTTAGTCCATTTTTTATTTCGTTTAGCTTTTATACTGTCATACTTGTACATACATACTTTTTATTTTTGTTTACCTTATTTTTTTAATTTTGTTGTAATAATGTAAGGTGACCTTGAGGGTCTTTAACCTCCTAGGACCTGGCGTCCACATATGTGGATTTCACATTTTGGGTTATTTAGACCAAAATACTAAATTTTGCTCTACATGGGCGTGATATCCACTTACGAGGACATTATACTGCTACTGTTCTATCATTTTAGCCTGCTGATCAGAAAAAAAAGAATCAGTCTAAAATGGATCAATAGTGCAATTAGAGATTATTTTACATGATGTTACCTTTAAATAGGCCAGTACTATTAATTGGCACGTATTCTTCGGCACAGAGCGGGTAATGTATTGAGCACAGGCTTATATTTTCAGTGTTTGCATGCACAGAAAGAGACACATGAATCAGTGTATTGTACAAGCCATTACACAAACCTCATCACTGTAATAATCTCATGGTTTCAAATAGACTTTTTAATTACACTCATTGCTCCGTCGCTCTCTCTCCCTTTTCTGCTCCCTCTGCTCCAACTATAGTTAGCTGTAATTAAGGCTGGCTGCCATGGTGACGTAATGGATCTCCTTCTGTGACCCTAAACTGCCACCGCTTTCGCACCCCGTACAAACACACATATGTGCGTAGGTGTTCACACACACTATAACACGGACTCAGCGAAGAGAATCAGGCTAAAACACAGTCACACACACACGGTTACAAAACACAAAATAGGCCTCATGGGAAAATGAAGACAGCAGTGTGAAATAATCTTTAGACTTTCCTTCCTCTCTCATTCTTTCTCTTCCACCTAGACAGTAAAACTAGAATAAGAGTTGGGAACTTTTAAAAGATCTGAGAACTCATAAGAAGAGGCTTAACTTTATTAGAGGCCATGAACTCCCAGGAAAGCAGTACACAAGAAGGTGAGTGTGTCCTCGGGTATGTGTGGGTTATATTGCCAATACTGAGGCCACACTGATCTGAGAGGAGTCCACTGTTACCGGGTGGTTAAACTACAGGTAGACCTTCACACACCTTGTATTTTATGATGCTCAGAAACACTGTGCCCATTGTTGTGTTACTTTAAAAAAAAGTAATTCTTATCTCATCTTTGGCTCACAATAAAGGCCCGTAAATTAACAAATAGAAACGCAACATAAATTGTGTACAATTTACTCTAAAATCATAATACTTGTGACTGATTTTTGGTACTAAAAAGTAAGAGTCTGGAATTAGAAAATGTAAAGTTTGGTGGATATTTGGCATTTTAAAAAGTTCAGCAGAAAATCTTGTTTGTTTTTATTAAACAAACACAACAATGAGAAAGTGAATGCAGACAATTGTGTTACAAAAACCAAATCTAAAATTTTAAACAATTTCTTGCTTTCTAAATTCCACTTCAAATTATACTGATTAAGTGTCAGAAACAGTTCAATCTTGATGACTGATAACTAAAATTATTCAACCCAAGACGTTTTTCGTGATAACACCATAATTAAGGTTTCAGCACAAAACCAGTTGGGTTAATTTCAAATTCAAATTCAAATTTTATTTGTCACGTACACAGTCATACACAGTACGATATGCAGTGA